GGGGATATCTATAATTAATTACAAAGGTGATATGATCACCAATAGGATTAATATACCCTTCTAGCACATTATGGGATGGAACATCCTCATGTATGATGTTTGAAGCTTTCAAAACCCAGAAATTCAAATCCCATTACATTAATGGAGATTACCGTTAAATGGGGTTATCGCAAATGATCGTGATTTTTATAGTCGGTATGCATTATACATAGTCGGTATGCAAAAAAACACCTACATCAACAAATGACTGCAAATATACTGCAAAGAAGTAGACCTAATGACTGCTAGGGTATACCATACATGGATCCTATGGGATATGGGTATGTAATTAATGGTATATTTAACTACAATGGGTGGCTATCATTGGCTATCTATGCTATATCACAGTATATTCCTGGGCATGCTGATTATATAGAAATCCAACACCATTCAACATGAGGAGACCAAGGGGATACCCTCCAGTGAACAAACAGTTTGCGAACTGGAAGCCATGGCCCATTTACTTCCTTGATTCACCTAGTATTTTCATATATTTCCATTGTGATTGTCCATACAGTAGCTATGTTAGGCCACAGGGTACAGTAGCTACTAGGAACTATGATGATCAACCAGTATCAACAAAATGCTTTGAAGCGACTTGGCGAGACTTGGCTTGGACTGTGAGTTTCATGTGTGATCAACTTGTGACATGGCGCTCAACATCCTCAACATAGTATCACTGCACATCATCGAATCCCATCCCCCGTGACACGCATCACCCCATCAAATGGACCCCAACAGTCCCAACATCTGGAAATCTGATGAAATCTGATGAAATCTGGCCCCTAAGATACCATGATTTCGAGGGGATCTTTTTCACCAAATATGGCATCAGCATCCCATCCGTACCGACGATTTCGCTGCCGAAATCGCCTTCAATCATCTTCAACCCTGTTGTCCCAGCCGGGATGATCTGAAAACTGGGTAGACCGGCAATTTTTTGGGCACCATCCATATTTCCCATATGCCATATATTTCATGGTTTGACGGCTATTTTATGACCCCCTTCCAGCCACACCCAAATATCATGAACCCCATTGAATCCCCATTCGATTCCCTTTTTGGACAAACGGCTACATCCTATCCACATCCCATCCGTATCATAACTGGAGCTATGTTTACCCCCAAACCCTGATTGAAATCTCTGAAAAGTAATCTTTTCAGTCTTTCCGTATCCTCTGGTAAAATCACAGTATGGAAAATCACCATTTCCGTATCCTCTGGTAAAATCACCGGTTTGCTATGGAAAATCACCATTGTTTCATATGTAAATCAACCATGAAAATGGCCGTAATGTTTACCAGAGGGTAAAATGACTCAGATTTCCAAAAAATGGGGTCCCCCGGATCCATGGTTGGTATCTCCCCATCACCATTTTTGTGCACCAATGATTGGTCCAAAGAAAAATGCACATAGCCTCTGGAAACTCATCAACCAACCATTATCAATTATATATTCCCATCGTATAATGGTTCAAACTCCTAAGCATGAGCTTAAATTCCCATTATCTCTGGAAATTCAAGAATTCTAGCAGTTCACTATGGAAAATCACCATTTTTAGAAGCTATTAGATCATCCATCATTTTGATCATAAAAGGCTCATCTGAAATTCCAGAGCTAAGAAATCACCAGAGGCTATGGATCGCCATGGCTGCCTGCAAGCGCTGGAAAAGGCGTTGCATCCTGAGTGTCAAGGATTTGCGAAATATATTGAAGACAGTTGACAGCGAAATATATTACTAGAAAGATGTAGAACAACTATTGACTTCAGAACAACAAATGTAGAACAACTATTGACTTCAGAACAACAAATGTAGAAAAACTGTTGACTTCAGAACAACAAATGTAGAACAACTATTGACTTCAGAACAACAAATGTAGAACAACTATTGACTTCAGAACAACAAATCTAGAACAACTATTGACTTCAGAACAACAAATGTAGAAAAACTATTGACTCCAGAACAACAGATGTAGAAAAACTATGAAAAACTATTGACTTCAGAACAACAGATGTAGAAAAACTATTGACTTCAGAACAACAGATGTAGAAAAACTATTGACTTCAGAACAACAGATGTAGAAAAACTATTGACTTCAGAACAACAGATGTAGAGAAACTATTGACTTCAGAACATGATTTTTGAACACCGGTCACCCAACAGACTCTGTCGGAACACACGCTATACACGCTGGCGTAAGGTGGGATTCACCGGGAATTTCCCCATGGATCTTTATACCGATTGACCCATGGGTACAATGTGGCCCCCCCCCCCAGGTATAAGTTGGTTTATAAGCCCCTGTAACTACAGTTATAAGTACCATAAACCATAGTTATTGGAGTTATAAACCAACTTAGCTATCTTGGGGGCCTCATATTGTAATGAAACATACTAAAATGATGTGGTCGGTCAAACGATATAATACCACGTTTCATGGATACTTGAAGCGTCTTGGTATAGTCTTGATCCCACGAGCGGATTTCAACGGTTTGTGTTGCATATCTTCAGCAAAACGATGGATGTATTGCTCAAACATGCTCAAACCAGCAGCGACTCGGCGTTTTTTGAGCCCAGAAGATGGTTCCAATATGTTCCAATGTTCGAATTCCAAGGCATCATAGATTTCCGGCTTTAAACAAATCAAGTTGACTATGGTTTAAGCATAGTTTGACCACGGTTTCTTCTGTTGACCCCAACGTTTACGCTCTGGGGTGGACCTCTCAAATGCCCTGAAGCGCCATGGGATCTTTGCACGGCGATCACCTTGCTGTGGATATCAGATGTCATAGATTTCAACCTTGCTAATTGAACTAGCAACTACTATGCTATTATAAATAAGTATAGTATTATAGTTACCTAGTAATAGTAACTAGTAAACTAGAACGTGTGTGCGTAATAGCAACTAGCAAGTAGAACTGGTCTGGTTGGTGGTTGACCTACCCCTCCGAAAAATATGAAAGTCAGTTGGGATAATTTTTCCCAATATATGGAAAAATAGAAAATGTTCCAAACCGCCAACCAGGCAAGAATTATGTCATACCCATATGCTCCATGGTGCTGGTATATTTACCTACATAACTGGGTAATTTTGTGGCAAATGTTGGGATTCATATTCCAGCACCGTGGGTTGCATCTGGGAAAGGGATTACATTCCTCCATCAATTTGCTGGAATCTTACCGTGACGTGAAAAAACGTCAGTTAGAAAAGAGATCCATCTTTCCAAATGTTCACATCGGCCCGGTCTACTGCACTTGGGCCTACTGTCTGCTGCCTGGTGGATGGTGCAACAAAACGAAGGACTGTGATGGATCATGATCTTCTCTATGTGGAGGATTCCTCAAATATGGGTGCTCCAAACCATTGGTTTTCCCATTTAAACAATTTTGGATCAGTTTTGTGTACCCAATTTTAGGAAACCTCCATCTCGCGAAATATAGAATGTGGTACGTGGCTTCAAGGTGACACGTCGGACAGAGATTGGCAAGACCATGTGCCGCTGGATATCATCTTCTAAGAAAAACAACAACTACCATCTGGTTATTTAACATAGCCATGGAACATCACCGTTTTTAATAGGTAAACCATCTATTTCTATGGGCCATCTCTACCATGGCTAAATAACCAGAGGGTGCTACAGCTACACTTCTCAACGACTTTTGGGGATTCCTTGGGTTAGTGTTTCCTCATATATCATCGATGGCCGTGCTACTGAGGGAACACAACTTGGTCCGCAGAAACTCTTGCAGTATTATATATTTATATAACTTATGTTATATAACCTATAGTATTACTATATAATCCCATCCCCCCTTCGTATTAAACAGCCCCCCCCACAAATATACATATATATATATATATGGTCACCAAATATGTGCTGTCATCCCGCACATCCAGCATGGTGACTGGGATGGACCTTCACAAAATCGGGACCTGCAAATTTGGGTGGTCTCTTTCGGTTGGAGGTGAAACAGCACTGGCTTTCTGGTGGAATTGGTTTAAATTGATATGTCAATGAATCCTGAAACACATCCTGAAAAGCAACGGTGGGACCACAGACATAGAAGTTGAACTTGTGGTCAGAAATGTATGGGTATGTGGTGCTTCCATGTGTTTCCGGAACCTCTTCCAGGCCTTCCTTGCCGGATCCACCTGAGCGAAAATATCTGGTTCACTTGATTTGTTAGACGACTCTCAATAGAATGCGGGTTTATATCCAAATACTACGTTTATCCGATAAGGGATTATGCCACCACACGAGTTCCACATTTTTTGGGGTCTGTCGCTTAAAACGACACGACTCGCTCCGGAGCGGAGTCTAGGGCCGTGGGCGCCTGCTTTCACGGACAGGAAAATCCCGATAGGACATGCCACTCCCCCAAAAAAAGATCCCAATGCTGTCAGAACCAGTGAGACTTTGCCGCATGTTGAGGTCGAAACCAGGATTTTTGGATGACAAGTGATTCATCCTGGTTGCAGCACGTCCATAGGAAACTTGAAATTCACTGGATCGGAAGCATGTTGCTTCCAATAAGTTGTGAAACAATCTGTATACATCCTTGTACACCTCCCGTGCAGCAATTGTATACAACTACTTCGAGATCAGTTGCTGCACAGTCCGTACAATATGGCCAATTCTCAAGGATTTATTGTGTCATGGCGCTGTCAAATCAATGTGCAACCTGGACCATTGGTCCCCTCCTTGCATTGCAGGCATTGCACATTCCTTAAGTTGACTCGCAGGCACTTGAATGTTGCAAACAGCAGGTCTAGCTAGTCTTCAAACAACTATATATATATGTATTTATTCTTTGCGTATATTAGTCGCGCAGATGGTTCTGAAAAACATCAACTGGGTCCATGTTCAATGCCATGGAACGCCATAGAACGAATTCAACAAAAAAAGGTTTCCTGCAAATTTTCCTGAAATTTACAACAGTTCTTTTGGAATGAACATCCATCAAGTACCATCCTCTTTCTTTTTCCTATGGGCCACATTGTCATCACGTCCCCTCTCAGAACTCCCCAATCTCGCCCCATTAGGCGATTCTTGGGCCCCTGATCAGGGCTCCAACCCCAAAATGACCATGGAAAAATCGGGGAACTGATTGGATACACCATGGGATCTTGACCAACGGATGGGGAACTTTGGCATCTTGCACCAGGTTCCAAGTCATCTATACAGAAGATCAGGACCCAGCATTTGAGATCATCTATATAACCAGAATTTCAATGTTTGATATTGAACCACATGGCTTTGTCTCAAAATGAGAGATACCACCAAAATTGCAAGATAGATCTTCATGGAGAAAATGATGGTCCAAAGTCCAAAACCTAACCGTGGGATTTAGTAGGCTTCCAAAGGAGACACGCCCGAGGATCGGGTGTTCCGACTGAAACTACCATCTGCGTCTTTGGTCTTTCAAAATGGTAACACCACCCTTTGTTTCACCATAAAGAACAACCAATTTTCAGATGATTCACCATCTTCCTAGTCTTAAACCCTGTCATGTGGCTCGAGTCCCTCTCAGTTCTCCAGCTGGGATATGGATGCAATCCCAACAGCCGCTCGCTGTTCCATGAAAAACATCAAACCATGAGGTCCCAGCATCTTTGTGCTCATGGTCCAAAAATCAGTCATTTCCTGTAAAGGATCATGTCCATGAAACCATGGATCATGTCCATGAATCACAAAAAAACACATGAACTTTGGCGTAAATGGATCATGTCCATGAATCATTTAAAACCATTTAAAACATCACCAAAAAAAACATGGATCATGTCCATGAAAGGCCGTGGTTTTCTGTAGGAAATCCTATGGTCCATCCCCCAAAGTTTTCCTCGCCTGGAGCGAGCTCCGCTCGGAGGCCTCCAATGTTACAACAATTCGTACCTTGAGGATACGTGGAAGCGTGGTCTTGGTCTTGGGATATATGAATATTTAGGAAATGTGTTATGTATATATATATGATATATTATGAAATTATCCACGATCCCATATGAGTATGATATATATATATATATGAAATATTATGAAACATATATGATATATGATCCATGATAATCCCTCCAAAATAAACCTATCATGGTATAGTGGGATATTATCTTATGACAGAGTATCTTAATGGACCATGATAACAGGTATTGACCATGAAATATCATGAAATATCTACATCTGGGTGAATTACACGGATTCACTAAGCTGAAAAGTTCGGCTATATCAGGATGATTCGCCACAATCAAACCATCATTGCGGTGAGGGAGAACAGTGAGGTCGTTATAATTTACCCAGAACATATATATATATATCATATATATATCATATATATCTATATATCATAGATACTATAATATATATATATATATATTATCATACATTTATTATAATACATATATATATATTATAATACATATATATATATATACATATTATAACATATATATATATATATCATGAGATATTGCTCCGTGTATAGTACCATAGGGAATATCTATAATAGTACTGCATCATAATATATATATATATATACATAGTTTGACACATACCATATACATACATATATATATACATATAGGTTATGTAAAACTAACCAAGAGTGTGTTTATGTATGTATGTATATACATATATATATATATATAAATATTGCGACAATCCAGCCGTAGCTTCTTGGTATTTGGGGTATGATTTTCATGGCCATTCATGGATGAAACCATGTGTCAGAAATGATTGGGTCACCTTTATTACTCGAACCAAACACGAATGAAATGACCCAAATCAGTGATTGAGTCCAGAAATGTGGGGAAATATATTTATATATCATATGAATCATATAATCATATATATAATATATTATATTATATTATATTATATTAATTATATTATATTATATTATATTATATTATATTATATTATATATATACTATTGATTCCTGAAATGTGGGGAAAGTCATGGGAAAGTCTTCTGGGAAATCTGGGAAAATATTGGCTTGGCTCCGCTAGCGTTTTCGGCATCTTTGGCTCCAGAGATATGGGGAAAAGATTGGGATTTTCCCCATGAAGTACGACATGTCTGAGAAGCCAAGACTTCAAGATGTTTCCGGGCACATCTGCGAAATTGACCAATAATGTCCTTTGGGGAAAAAAGGGGCTGATTACAACAACCTCTCATTCTTCATCAAGCAGTAAAAGGACATCCCCGCACTGTGAATACATCCCTGAAATTCCCTGAAACCATGTTGCATATATAACTCAGAAAACTCAAGGCTTCCTGAAAAAGATGCAAACAAGAACAAACCTGGTGTTGCGTTTTTTTTTCTCTACCCAACAATTGCCCACAAGCCAATTCACCAACGACTGATGGCCCAAGGTGCTGCAAGAGTTTCTTTTCCAATTCCTTGATATGTTCGATGAGCTCGTTCTTTTTGGCTGTGAGCTCCTTGCTTCAGGTGGTTTATGTGCCCCCCTGGCAGCTGTTATAGCTGAATAGATGCTTGATACTGAACAAAAGGGTTTCAAATATGTTTGGGCGTAGCTAGAGATAAACTGTAGATGCAATGAACATACCAAACACAGAACCTTTTTGGGCAATAACATGCCCTGGCACCTTTGTATCTCTATACAATATATATATGTTTATGGGTCTAGAAAAAACTCATCCACCAAGCGTTTACCCCGGATTACCCTGTGGAATGTTTTTGAAACACGCTTGCACCAGCTGCCGTTGACCCTTTGCTGACCCAATTTTCTACTCCCAAAAGTGTCTTGAATCCCAAGGTGTGTGGGTAAAAATCGCGTAGACACCAACATCTTTGTTGGACATACATATATATATATATACGTATGTTATATAATTATATATATATAATTATATATATATGTATCTCTATATATGTATCTATATATATGTGTATATATATTGCTATCTCATGTTGCTTTATTGGTGAATTTATCAGTAATTGGTTGCTTTATCCAGCACACCCGAGTTGATGCGACGTGACGTTGGGCACCTGCGCATTCTTCACCTTCTTCTGACTCGTCACATCCATTTGGGCCATGAGCTCCTGGTGGATCTGTTTGGTTTCAACGAAGTTCTCACGAGATTTTGGGGCACTGTGGGTGTTTCTGAAAATGGTGTGTATAATATATATATATATATTATTTGACTATTAAATATACACATATTATATATATACATATTATATATATACATACTATATATATAATTACATATATTATATATACCCAATGTCTGGCGATCTGATATGATTTACTGGGAGGTTTTTAATCAACCAGTGGATGGCCTGGGGTACCCTATTTTCAGAGAAACTGATACAAATATACTATATATACGGATGGTGTTCAATGTCAACATGCCCCAGAAGATCCACTTATCCACTTTCACAAGTGACCCAATCAGATGTCAATGAATACTTCAAATTAGAGTGGGTCAGTTTCCATTGTTCTTTCCAAATTGACCTAACAGGTTTACCGAGCTGTCTCCACATCTTGTCAATTGACCTGACCTTTGACTGATTAAAAACAATGCGTGGACCAGACATATGATTCCACAGAAGAACTGTGACCTCAGTCAAATATGAATCACCTTCAAACACTACGTTGATATTTGGTAGAACATTGTGGAAACTGAAAGTACGTGATTTACCAACATTGATATAACAAACCAACATTTTTTACCTTCATTGATAATCATCTTCTTGCATTAACATAGCTATTGAAAATCATCATACTTTCAGACAGGAAATAACACTTATATAATCATATAGGGATTTCCAAGAATGGGATAGCCCAAAATTGATGGTTTATTTCATGGAAATCCCAAAATGGATGATAACTAGGAGTACCCCCATGACTTTGGAAACCATCATGTATATTATATATATGGTGCAGCGTTGGCCACCCCCCCTCCCCCCCCACCAATGGGTATGGGTGGACAGTATCGTCTGGTTCTTCTGGCCCCCCCCCCCCTGGCCCCCCCCCCCCTGTGGCCTGTGGTGGTGGTATGGTTCTTCTGGTCCCCCCCCCCCCTGTGGCCTGTGGTGGTGGTATGGTTCTTCTGGTCCCCCCCCCCTGTGGCCTGTGGTGTATGTTGGTATGTTGGTATGTTGGTATGTTGGTATGTTGGTATGTTGGTATGTTGGTATGTTGGTATGTTGGTATGTATGTATGTATGTATGTATGTATGTATGTATGTATGGAATGTAAGGTAAGGTAATGTAATGGTATGTATGTATGTATGTACGTAGGTATGTAGGTAGGTAGGTAGGTAGGTAGGTATGTAGGTATGTATGTATATACACCACCACAGGGGCATCATACCCCCCCCCCATCCCATGGGGGGGGGGGGGGAACACGGGACACGGGACCATATATACATACATACATACTTATAAAATCTTATAAATATGGGCAATTTTCTCCACGCCTTCGCCCTTGGCACAACGCGACACGGGCGACACGCGCCTCTTGGTTGAGTTTGCCCAGACGTTTTCGTTCCTCCTTAATCCTCAGCATCATGGTTGACACGAAGAACCTAAGGCCCAACACAGAGGTCAGGGAATCTGGAGAATAACTCAGCAACATTTAGCGGGTTGGTGGTTTTAACCATCTTGACAAATATGAGTTCGTCAATGGGAAGGATGACATCCCATATATGAAATGGAAAATAGAAGCCATGCATGTTCCAAACAACCAACCAGATCAGTTATCCTACGTTGAGCAAATGTCCGAGTCAAATCATGGAATTCTCCCCCAAACGGATCGAAAAGTATTTTTTATCCGTCGAACTTAGATCTATAAACCATGGTAGGATTGGTAGACCATGGTCTACCCTCTGGTTATTTAACATCGCCATGGTATAGATGGCCCTAATCGAGATAGATGGTTTACCGAACTTAATAGCATGGTGGATCTTTCCAGTTCGCAAACTGTTAGTCATAACCATGGTCTAAATAATGGAATCCCCCATGTCCATAAAGTACATTGCCCCATCACTTCCAGCAGAATTTCGATTCCAGCCGAATCTTCCTTACTCTTCAGTTAAATCAACATACCCTCTGGTTATGACTAACATAGCCATGGTATAGATGGCCCATAGAAATAGATGGTTTACCTGGGTTTACCTATTAATAGCATGGTGGATCTGTCCATTTCGCAAACTGTGAATGTCATAACCGGATGGTAACTCTGGAACATGGCCCGTTTAGTTCGATGATTTGCCTATTGAAGTATAGTAAAAGATATCAAAACTTAATAGGACAAAATTAAAACTGTAAAGAAATGATTGGTCTATTGATATCAAAACATATCAAAACTAGTAAATATGATTTAATATTTTTTTGCCTATTAACATATTTTAAGACCACGATTTCCATAGCTCTCGTTGTTCAGAGGAAAAAAACATCGTCGAGGATCTGCTGTTCGGTGCGTCGGATGGCGCTCGCAGGTTTCACCCCACTGCCTCGGTCGGACGGTTTCTTCGGGTCTCTGGAGTCTCTGGCGATAGATTTAAACATGAAACACTAGTGACACGAGTGTGTATATATATATATATATCCCATAGGATCCATGTATGCTATATATGGTAACATTTACCATCAATATACCCCAAATGCTAGCATATATACCATACATGGATCCTATGGGATATAACTATATATATATATATTGATTAATATAGTTTAACAACATTTAACGACTATAAACCCAATGAACATCCATTCAATAGTTTGATATAGTTCGATATAATATCATAAACTCAACAGTGATGTTACTGAAATTGAAGTATCTACCATTCTCTACCCATTAACCCAGCATAATGATATATATTATATATATAACCTGCACCCAATGAACATCTATTGACCAGTTCAACATATCTAGCATAGTACTTAACCTCAAATCACAATTGTATCACTATATTCTCACCCAACAGCGATGTTAGTTATTTCCCGCCTGGAATGATGTTGGAAAGCGATTCGTTGCACCGCACCTGGCCGGTTAACCAGCCGCAAAAAGACATGGTGGTTCTAGGGACCAAAATGACAAAACATGTTCAAAGCGGTAGCTACCTTTATAAGTGATATATAGAACTTATAGAACATGTTGAAATTGGTCTTATGACCAACTAAGATTTGGTTGGTAATTATCGAAGGCATTCGAAGGCTAACAGGAACCTTTCTTGCGACAAAAAAAACCTGTGAAATAGGCCTTGCTTGGCATCTAAACCCCATTGTTTCATCCTGTGGCTGGGAAGGCCTGCATCTGTGATCATCTGTCGTTCTTGTTTAAGGACAACTGCTGCAGCGACAAATCATAGTATCTCCCATCAAAATTGTGTCCAAGTACTAAAAACACTGGGTAAATTAGCACGTTTTATGCTTAGAGGGTCTAGATAGATCCGATAGATTCAAAGAGCAAATAGCTTGAGCTGCAGCTGACCTGTTCCTCGGTAGATCTATGTGGTCACATATGGTGATACAAGGTGATACAAGGTGGAGTTAAGCTAGTGAAATGTTTGTTGGTTTAGTCACACCCTATTACCCCATGAACTAATTCGTTGTATCTACCATGAACATTCCACGAACTATTATAGCCAGAGGCAACCTATTTCGAATCCAACTTGATTATCCAGGGCCCCCCCCACCTTTTATGTGAATTCTGTGTGTGTGTGCGTGTGTGTGTGTGTGTCCATGTATGATATGTAGATTGAAACCCAAAAAAAAAACATCAGGTCGACACATGAAAAACCGAAAAAACACCGATCCTCTCTGAAACTCCTCATGAAATCCCCAAGAAATCACTTTAAAAAAATGGAGTTGATAGGTGTTGATAGATGGGTTTGTCTGAAAATAGAGTATTCCTTTCCATCCACTGCTTTATCATTGTAAGCTTCTGCTGGTTTATTTGGCTTTGTCTGAAAATGAACTACTGCAAGTGGAGTATTGCACTAAATAGCCTAATAGGGAATATGATGATCAAGCATCGAACTTGGTGGTACGATACCAGATTTTCAAACAAACCCACATGCCTAGGCCAGCTGCTGGATTTGAAAATCTCGGATGAACTAGATGGGCCAACAAAAACATTCACACTAAAATCACCGAAAAGGGCCCTAAGGATTTTGGTGAAATCAATCATTCCATTTATAAATCCGAATGTTGGTGAAATCATATGTTATATAAATCCATTTTTTGTTCGTGAAACCACCAAATTTCTTGGATTTTCTAGGTCATTTCAACTCTCAATGCACGTAAAGAGCAGGCAGTCTGCCGGGTTCAACCTGAGATGTCAGTCAAATGTCACCCTCAAGGTTGTACCTAGAAAAATTAGTATTTTAATGCCCCATGGTTTTATCCCTTTGCATTTTTTGGGGATACTTAGGGATACTCGAAAAATGTCAAGGATGTCATTGAATCATCCCAAATAAAAATCGCAAGGATAAACTCCAAGATCTTAGTCATTTGATTGGGCATGTCAACCTATCTCCGATCTCCACGGGTCTTAGCAGTTCACCAAGTGGAAACAAACTGGACTTTGAGGTGGCTGTGGTACTATCCATTTGCCGCCGATTTTGATGAGAACACGAGGGGATTCCAAAGCCAAGGCACCAGATAGGATTTTTGAAGACGTTTGATCGTCCTTGGCACGAAGCACAACACTGCGAAGCGAGCTAGTTCCAGAGGCTAAAATCGGCTAAAATAGGCGGCTGAAATATACTACCTACCCTCTGGTAATTTGTCACATAGCTATTGAAAATGACCACAGAATTTTAATGATTTACCCAGCTATAACATGATGATGTTCCATCGTTTTTTGTAAACGTTTACCAGAGGGTAGACAAGCAAAGCTGTAGCCATATGCTACCGAGAATTTGGAAACGCATACCATGATCAAAGGAAGTTTAGGGGGAGAAACTTCCGTGTTACGGACTTTTAGAATGTCAGGGAAAGAGTTAGTCAAAGAAAGAGTTAGCAAAGAAACAGTTAGTCAGGGAAAGAGTTAGTCAAAGAAACAGTTAGTCAGGGAAAGAGTTAGTCAAAGAAAGAGTTAGTCAGGGAAAGAGTTAGTCAAAGAAAGAGTTAGTCAGGGAAAGAGTTAGTCAAAGAAAGAGTTAGTGAGGGAAAGAGTTAGTCAAAGAAAGAGTTAGTCAGGGAAAGAGTTAGTCAAAGAAAGAGTTAGTGAGGGAAAGAGTTAGTCAAAGAAAGAGTTAGTGAGGGAAAGAGTTAGTCAAAGAAAGAGTTAGCAAAGAAACAAGGTAGTCAAAGAAAGAGTTGGTGAGGAAAAGAGTTAGTCACAGAAAGAGTTAGCAAAGAAATTGTTCCCTCACTGAAGCACTGTAAATGGCATTGCAAGTGGTGCTGGTGGAGGAGTTGCCAATGGAGTTTTGGAGGAAGTCTCGCACGAAATGCGTTTTTGAGAGATAGCAGATGCACGAAACCCTATGTTTTTCCATACAAAGTCCGTCCCCGAACCTCGATGATCTACCTCTGCGGTGCGACGGGTGCGAGACGGTCTCGTGTGTGGTCGGATCATGGTCGGATCATGGTCGGATCATGGTCGGATCGGTCTCGGATCGGTTCCGCATTGTAAATGGGGTTTCAACTGTGTTTCGTCTATGTGCGGTCGACAGAATTCCATTGTGAATTGCAACTGTAGGATCGTTCCCGCAATGTAAATGGGATTGCAAGTGGTGCTGGTGGATGAGTTGCCGATGGAATTCCATTGTGATTTGCAACTCTAGGATCGTTCCCTCTCTGTAAATGGGATTGCAAGTGGTGCTGGTGGAGGAGTTGCCGATGGAATTCCATTGTGATTTGCAACTCTAGGATCGTTCCCTCACTGTAAATGGGATTGTAAGTGGTGTTGGTGGAGGAGTTGCCGATGGAGTTTTGGAGGAAGTCTCGCACGAAATGCGTTTTTGAGAGATAGCAGACACACGAAACCCTATATTTTTCCATACAAAGTCCGTCCCCGAACCTCGATGATCTACCTCTGCGGTGCGACGGTTGCGAGACGGTCTCGTGTGTGGTCGGATCATGCTCGGATCATGGGCGGATCATGCTCGGATCGGTTCCGCATTGTAAATGGGGTTTCAAGTGTTTTTCGTGCATGTGCGGTCGACAGAATTCCATTGTGATTTGCAACTGTAGGATCGTTCCCGCAATGTAAATGGGATTGCAAGTGGTGCTGGTGGATGAGTTGCCGATGGAGTTTTGAAGGAAGTCTCGCACGAATTGCGTTTTTTTCTCCATTTTGGCGCTAGTGATTTTCCTTCTAAAAATTCTTTTAAAAAATGCTTCAAAATCGCCTTTTTTCGCTCTGGCATCAAGATCCGGTTTTGAAGCTACAAATTCCGACGCCGTTGCGCGTAGTTCTATTGTGTTTTGCAACTCAGTCGCTGCAGATCGCATTGTAGTCGCTGCGCCAAGGTTGCTTCCTGCTTTGGCTGTATGCGTAATACTATTGTCTTTTGCGGCTGGACTTCGTAAATCGTTTTGGAGTGGCTGCATGAAGGCTGCGAAATGGATTTGTTAGCAGATTTTCTCCACTTTGGCGCTAGTGATTTTCCTTTTAAAAATCCTTTTAAAAAGTGCTTCAAAATCGTCTTTTTTTCGCTCTGGCGTCGAGATCCCGGTTTTGGAGCTACAATTTCCGATGCCATTGCGCCGAGTTCTCTTGTGTTTTGCAACTCAGTCTCCGCAGATCGCATTGGAATGGCTGCGTCAAGGTTGCGGAGTGTGAAGGAAGCAGTGAGAAGTGAGAAATGAGAAGTGTGAAGTGTGAAGTATGAAGTGTGGAGTGTGAAGTTTCAGTTTGGAGTGCGAAGAGCGCAGTGTGAAGTGTGAAGTGTGAGGTTTGGAGTGTGAAGGAAGCAGTGAGAAGTGAGAAATGAGAAGTGTGAAGTGTGAAGTGTGAGTGAAGTGTGAAGTGTGAAGTGTGAAGTGTGAGGTTTGGAGTGTGAAGGAAGCAGTGAGAAGTGAGAAGTGTGAAGTGTGGACAGTGAAGTGTGAAGTGTGAAGTGTGGAGTGTGAAGTTTCAGTTTGGAGTGCGAAGAGCGCAGTGTGAAGTGTGAAGTGTGAGGTTTGGAGTGTGAAGGGAGAAGTGAGAAATGAGAAGTGTGAAGTGTGAAGTGTGAGGGAAGTGAGAAGTGTGAAGTGTGAAGTGTGAGTGAAGTGCGAAGTGAGAAGTGTGAAGTGTGAAGTTTGGAGTGAGAAGTGTTAAGTTTGGAGTGTGAAGGAAGCAGTGAGAAGTGTGGACTGTGAAGTGTGCAGTGTGAAGTGTGAAGTGTGAGGTTTGGAGTGTGAAGGAAGCAGTGAGAAGTGAGAAGTTTGGAGTGCGAAGAGTGCAGTGTGCAGTGTGAGGTGTGGAGTGTCGAGGGAAGGACACGGTCGGGACAGGGTGTCTTTGAACTATAGGTCATTTATGTTTGGGAAACTTCTGCCGCCGGCTTGCCCGGGTCTATGTTACCAGTTGCAAAGTGTAATCAACATGTTATAAGATGTTATAATCCAGTAATGTATGGATATGAATATACTGAATATACTCTAGCAATATATTGCATATTAACATTTATTAATATTTATTAACCACTTACTATCTGGTATGCACCCCAAAGATCCGTCAGTCGGATCTGCACTGTTGGTCGGATCTGCCAAGCAGCTTATACTGCGGGACCTTCTCGTCTCGCTCCATGGGGCACCTGTCACAAACCCTTGGAGGGCTGGAATATGAATCCCACGACTTTACCCGAACAAAATCACCCAGTTATATAGGTAAATATACCCTCTGGTAAACGAACTAACATAACTATGGATTCATCCACCATTTTCGGAAAATCCACTATTTCGACTGGGTCATGTTAGGTAAATCTACCAGCACCATGGCAGATGGCTTGTTGTTTGACCATCTATCCATTTCTAGCCATTTCTACCGGCACCATGGGTTGCATATGGGTAACTATAAGGTATACTATGGATACTATGGAAAACCACCATCTTTAATGGGAAAATCGGGAAAATCCATTTCTATCCATTTCTGGCATGTCCTTCATTTACCACATCACAATGGGTAAGAAATCCCGGCCTCACGGCGGCCGCCCGGCTGCGGGGCGCTGCGGCAAGGCAAAGTGCTGACCCGATGCGAAAGCGAGGCGATTTTTCGGCAGATCTCAGGGAGAGACTCACAGCACTATATATATATATATATATGTATGAGGATCACCATCTGGAGACTCAAAGCGATCCAGTTTCTGATCTCGACAGGTTGTTGCTCACTATAGTATAGTCGTAACGTTGCTTGGTTAACCATAAATGGGATAGTTCTAAGAAATGTTGTGTTTGAGTGTACGTACTCAAGAGAAACCAAGGAAGTCAAAAAGAAAATGTCTTGCTTTTTCAATGTCTCTGTTTTTTTCCCATGTAATCCATCGGTTGACATGAACATTTATGGCCTGACGGGTTTTGGGAATCATACACAATCAGGACAAGACTATTACAAATGCGGATATCTCTTTAAAACATCTTTCAGGAAAAATATGCGTACATGCATATATATATAATTATATACATTGCCAATCTTAGATACCCTGCAAAAAAATAAATTCGTTGCTGGTTCGTAGATATTACCATTAATACCAAAAGACTAAAGGATTAAAGTATCCATCTAAGATTAACCTAGTATATAATATGCAACAATGCCAATTTACAGTAACAGGTAACAGACACTAGGTGGCAGATATGGACCTTCGAGATAAAATTGTCAGACCTGGCGAGAGTCGAAAAGTCCTGATGCTCATATTTCATGGCAGCCACCCTAAACCCATACCTCTACCGCTGGGCATTCAACATATGGAAAATCATCATTGTTTAAGTAGGTAGATCAACTATAAATTATAAATGAATATATATATAATGGAGCATGTTTGACTGTATGTTACTACAGGGTATGATGTCTTCTTGTTTTTCACCTGTAAGAAAAAACATAATTTGTTTAACATGTAATATCCCATGTACAACAGGGTCTTAGATATCCCATTCTTGATGGGTCTTAGGATGTAATCCAGAATCTCACACTTGTGATTGGTCCGTAGATATAATCGAGTAACTTGTGATGGGGGTTGTAGAGATTAAATGCAACAAAACAATGATATCGTTACAAAATAAACAAAATACAACTGAGCTACCCTCTAGTAAACTAACATAACATAGCTGTGGAACATGGCTCATTTATACTTGATTTTACCTATTGAAATGAAATGGTGCTTTCCTCGTCCTCAGCTATGTTAGCTTACCATCCACCATTTTCCCTAGTTGAATCATAGTTAAATCACACTTTTGCCCAGCGAAATCACTCATTGTATCTGGTTGGTGGTTTTAACCATCTTAAAAAATATTAGTCAATTATCCCATATATTATGGAAAACAAAAAATGTTTGACACCACCAATCAGATAATATACCGTAACAAACTAATTGTCTGAGTTGGCAGCTGACTTGTTGACTACGAGCTGTTTCTATCCAGGGAGTGCATATTTTCCTCTCCGAGTGATGCCAAGCGAATCAAAGCCCGACCCTACTGTAGGGTCCTAGCGGTGAAAGGGCGCTTCGGGGTGGATGAATATTGTCCCAGGATGCCAACATTGCGTAACACAGAACCCAAGGTTTCATTGGGATGTTCCATGTTTTTTCCATTGTATTTCCATGGATCCAATATGGAAAGTGGTAGTAGTTGATGCTAGTTGTATCCCGAATATGAATATCCTATATGAATATCCCACAGATCCTAACATTTCTGCACTGCTTCTCTGACGATGAATTCACTCACCATGTCTTAATGAGTTCAATGAGTTCAATGAGTTCAATCCCCATGGGAAATCAGTTGCTTAACGCAAATGCGCAGGGGGTCGCCTCAGTGCGCGCGTCACAGCCTGGTGATGATAGCTGTGATCGAAAAGGAGATGCCATGGGTAAATTCCATTTAAAACAGATGCCCATATAATATGTCGATAGTTATTGTTGTTAAAAGCCGAATATAACTTCATATATATATAATATGTATATACGTATAATTAGAGACTATAATATACTTATAGAATATATATATATATCCATATTACTGTATACAGGGAAACGACAATGTCACGCCTAAGTCATGCCTAGCGTGTTTTTGAATGGCATTTACCATTGTAAACGCTGTATCCAAGAAGTCATGCCTAAGTCATGTCTAAATCACCAGCACAACGCCATCTTACCTATAACTAATCAACATACCCACAACCTGGAATTCTGCATGCTAATAGTGATAAGCTATGTGATCTCATAAGAAAACGGGTTACATATCCAAACTCCAGAGTTCCTATGCGTTCTTGCTAAAGGCACGACTTTTGCGAAACACACTTCCCCAAGGCACAACGATTTTTTCTTAAAACAGGTACGACTTTGTCAGATGCCTGGACCCTCCAGTAAATTAACGGTTCGACCCTGCCAGATAGGGGTTGGAAGATTGGTCATTTTCAAACAAACAAAACTTTGCCACAGGGATCCAGACGGTAAATTCCACCAACTCTCTGTAAATTCGATTCAAATTCCATAAATGGTTCATATACCGCTAATATCATGGTGAGTTCCCATCTTGTGGAAGTTTCCCAGTAACAAACCTCAAAATTTGGATGCTTCATATTGATAACACATTAATAATGGCAATTTGGAAATATCATGGGAATATTATATCAATGGTTTATGGAAATATCACCGGTAGTTGTAATAGGTAATTCATCTTTGTATGGGGATAACATGGTTTGATGTGATATTCTTGGGATATTATATATATATATATATAATTGGATGATATTCATGGAATATCATGGAATAGATAGAATTACAAATACCCATACATCCACTTGTACCCATGAAAGTGGGTCAAAGTCCTAAAATTACGTCCAGGCAATGGGGACATTGATTTTTCATGATGCCACATGGTTTAGTGGGCTATCAAATGGATATCAAGATGGGATGTATCGAGGAATATCATATGTTAATATATCTTGCTAAATTACAATAATTCGCTAATCTGAAAATAGCCGACAAACAGGCCATTTGGGAATGATTCACCGAATCTTAACCATGATTCCAGCGATGTCCAACGTGAGGTCACTATAGTTCATCAAGATATATATATATATAAATATGTACTTAAAGTAACCCCTCTGGCTTAGATGACCTTACATCTATACTAACATCCATCCAAACGAGACCTGCTTTTGTCATCCGGGAATTCAAGATATTCAAGATATTCAAGATATTCAAGCGTTGAATCATCATGTTTCATATCTTTTAATGGTTAAATGACCATGGTTTATTTCATGATTCTGCATATTGTGCCGCCGGCCTCGCGTGTTTGCGCATTGCTGACGGCAGTGAAACCCTCCTCCATCAAAATGCTGTGCGCTCGCTGGACCTGGTTGGATCTGGTTGGTTGCAAACGCTTCACGATAGTGTGGGTATATGACAAAAGTCACCCAAAAAATGTAATCTTTAGGGGAATATGTGGAATTTCTGAAACTTCAATTAAGGTTAATATGTTATAATACGTGGTTGATAGGTGATCATATCCCCCAAAAAAAATTGGGTAGTAGATTTCCCGCATATTAACCAATCAACCAGGGTATGTGGGTAGAATCATAGGAGTATAGCCCACATAGGATACACGACCTATAACTATGGCCGTATCACCCAGTCATAGAGTGGACACTTCAGGGTTTATTCACGTTTTATCATCATTGAAACCATATAAACTGCAAAAAAAAGTATACAATATCATATATGTAGAGACAAACGTTGTGAAAGAGGGATCTCGGACTGAGGGATGAGCAAATTCTGATTGCAAGTGATCTCAGTCAGATCTAACGTCCCAGTGGTGTGCGCCCCAGGTTGGACCATTTCGTTGCGCTGCGCATTTTTCTTTCTGAAGCTCCGGTTGCAGAATGTAACATGGGACGACCTCCTTGGGATGTTCAAACATGGCTGGGCCCCCTGTGAATAGAGAAAATAATCGAAGTAAATGAGGGATTCTTCAGCAAACCTGGGAAATTACGGATCCACTGGCTGTCATAGTCACCATCCCTAAGTATCAACCGTAAACCCGAAATTGGGGGTGATGGCAGGCAGTGGATCTCATATTGTCCAGGCCAGAAACGCCACACCGATCCATGGTGAAAATTATGAGGCACAAACCTAAGCCCGAGAATCTCGAGGTATCCACATTGTTGTTGTTTCCTGTAAATCTTCACATGTGGTGTTTCTTCATAATATGTGTCATTGTCGTTGCTTTTCCATTGAGCTAAATGTCCGGATTAAATTTGTTTGATAAATTTCTCAAACTTTCCAGAAGCAGGGTTGCTCTCAACACCGCAAATACAAGAGAGGTAAACTATCTTAATTTTATAATCATCCTGAAGGTTCTGAAGTAGATAGAACATTTTTTCTTTTGTTCCAAAGCATTCGATTGTTACTGTTTTTTAAACAAATTCTATCCCAGGATAGGATGACTATAGTCAAGAGGTAAAATCACCAATTTCCCCCGCTTGTCCCTATCATTCACCTCCTGTTGATCGTCTCCGAAGAGAAGAATGGGATGATGGCAGTTCTGCGCCTGAGGACGACATGCACGAAGTGCTCCCCGTGGCTGAAAAATCATCCCAACAATCAAACACGAAATGTACAGTTACAATAATCATCCAAAAAAATATAAACATGTGTACATACCCATGACGGATTCATGGTGCTGGTATATTAATGCTAACATAAATGGGGCTGACATTAATGGGATCCATGGAGCACCATATATAGCAGCACCATGCATCCTATGGGATAGTAATCACTACTTGAGCGGAAGAGAATACTGTTCAATCTTCGCGGGGGTTGCTACAAATACCCACAATACGCCATGGGTACTGGGGGCCTCGGCGAAAATGGCAAAAAAGATCATTTGGAAATGTTGTTTACCATAAACATGGTATTTTCTGTCCAAGTACGTTTTTGTTGTATTTCTTGTCCTGTTCGGGAAGAGAGTTTTGTTTTCAAAGTCCATGTCAGGTGATTCTGCTCTCATGTTTTGTTCACCTTAGGAAGGAACCGTGCATTGCACGAAAATAGGATGTAAATCTACTCATTGTATCCATTGAAAACTGCATTTGGGGCAACATTTTCATTTTTTGGACCCCAAGTCAAAATAGTTCGTTATATGTTTATATTATATCCCCATGATATCCCCATAAAATGGTTCTTTAAAATGTGGTGGCATATTCCATCGGACACCTATCCCAATATCACCATAAATTATTGTCATAACATATTTTTCCATTAGAAAATAAAATTCTATCACCATAAAATCACGAAAAAAAACACCATAAAACCACCGTATCCATAGACATTTCCATTGAATCACCAAAAAAAAAACACCCAAAAATCACCATAAATTATGTTCATATCATATGTTTCCATTAGATTCTATCACCAAAAAAATCACCCAAAAACCACCATAAACCGTGATTCGTTTCGCTGGACGCACCTCCCAGCCGTAGGACCTCAACTTCTCCCGGAAATTGGCCAAAGGGATTTCCACCTGCACCTGTCGCCCAAGAGGGGAACGAGTTACACGTTTAACCGACTGTGGATATCATGGACATGGATATATACATATAATATATATATAACTGATTTATATATATATGTACCTATATGTATTTATATATAATTATATATAATTATATATATATTATATTGTTTTAAAATCGATATGATATTTGGGATTGTTTGAGAATTGGGAATTTATATACCCTTTCAAACTGTTAGTTCAATGGAGAAAAAATGATTTTTAACCGTCAACTCCGGGAGTTACCCTATTTTCAAACAAATCCAATTTGGAAATTGGGTGAACAAGTCAGTCTTATATTTTATACAGTACCATTCGGTCTGAACCAAAATTTGAAATTTTATGCAATCAATAATTGGGCGACTGGCTTAGATGAATATCATGATATCTTGAATACCCCCGACCAGAAACATGGGAATACTTCGGGATGTTCACCACTGGTGGCGTTTTGGATGAGGTTTGGGACGCGTTGGGACGCATTGGGACGCTGCATCCACAAAACACATGCAGATATCGTTTCCCAGCAATCCTGGAAACCAAAGCAATACCACAACAATTGTCCCAGGAAGATCGCTTCAAAACGGTCCGGACTGGGCATCACTGTGCCCAATCAATGTTGATTCAGAAGCATTTCAAGTGGGACCCGGCTTTCCACTGTCCAACAACCCCTATCCATGTATGGAATATCTACCAACATTTGTCCGAACGAAATCACCCAGTTATGTGGGTAAATATACCATACATGGATCCATGGAGCATATGGGTAATGTGCAAGTTATGCATAGTTATGCGATTTTTTCGGGGTGCCCACCACTGGTGCGTCCACTGTCCATGTGTGGCGCCTCCTTGCGCCGTAAGGTGGCCATCCTGGCGGTGTGCAACTCCAAAGCCGTCCAGAACCAGTTATATATGGGTGGTTTCCAGAAATGGGGCATACCCCCAAAATGGATGCTTTATAATCGAAAATCCTATCTATAAATGGATGAGAACCGGGGGTATCCCTATTTTGGGAAACCGTCAAAACTTTCTTGTCATTTAGTTGGCCAGTAACTGTGGCTCAATGCATATATGTGCAGCAAAAAATCTTGCACGACCTGCTAAACGTCGCTGCTGTGAAGCTGTCGGGCCGGCCGAGTCTCCAAAGAAAGCCCACCAACAGAAATTGATTATAATTGATTAATATATTTTATCAGGTCAGCCACCAATGTAACGAGTTTACCGAGTTTACCGCAGCTCTTGGATCCTGGGGATTAGCCGATGGTACCATGGGGTACCTCATCGAGCCCTGACTTAACCTCGGCTAAGTCAACTTCAAGCTCCCTGTACCAAAAAAAGGGTGGTTTTTGTCCATAGGAACTAGTTCGATACAAACCCAGGCCCTATCCTATTGGAGTCATGTTCACCTAACGACCTGAGCCGACCTGGCAAACCTGGCGCGACCGGTGGCTGTGGGGACAACCCCATGGCCCCGTGGCTCTGGCCTCTTCTCCGCATGAATCTGCAGAGACGACATGCGAGGATGTCTCGCGACGCTGCGAATCTCCTTGAGGGGATCAGCAACCCCTACCTTTTTGGGTATTTACCCTCTGGTAAACTAACATAGCTATGGAAAATTACTATTCTAATAGGTAAATCATCTAAACATGGTCCATTTTCCATAGCTATGTTAATTTTCTAAAGAGTAGAAAAAAATAAAAATGCTCATCTAACCAGGAAACAATCTTGGAAAATGAGTGGCTTCAAGCATGACTTGATGACTTTTAAATACTGTTGTATACACATACTTTTACT